GATGGTAGTGTGCAAAATGACGATTGAGGTGAAAAAAAAAGGAAGAGAATGAAGACAGAGCAGAAGATCAAGTGGTGGAAACTAAGGAAAGAGACATGTGAAGACTTCAGGAAGGAAGTAGGGGCAGTTCTGGGTGTGTTGAGATATTCCCAGATGATTGGGAGACTACAGCTGCAGTGATTAGGGAGACAGGTAGGAAGGTGCTAGGTATGTCCTCTGGGCAGAGAAAGGAGGACAAAGAGACCTGGTGGTGGAATGAGGAGATCCAGGAGAGTGTGCAGAGAAAGAGATTAGCGAAGAAGAGATGGGACAGTGACAGAACAGAAGAGAACAGACTGGAGTACAAAGAGAGGACAAGGGAGGTGAAGAGGGAAGTGGCCAAGGCCAAACAAAAGGCATATGAGGAGTTGTATGAGAGTTTGGAAACAAAGGAAGGAGAAAAGGAGTTGTATAGATTGGCGAGACAGAGAAATCAAGCTGGGAAGGATGTGCAGCAGGTGAGGTTGATTAAGGACAGAGAGGGGAATGTGATCACAAGTGAGGAAAGTGTGCTGAGAAGATGGAAGGAATACTTTGAGGAGTTGTTAAATGAGGAAAATGAAAGGGAAAGTAGAAACGAGGAGCCAGAGACTAGTAGGAAGAAGGTAGATCAGGTTAGAAAGGATGAAGTTAGAAAAGCCCTGAAGAGGATGAAGAGTGGAAAGTCAGTTGGTCCTGATGACATACCAGTGGAAGTATGGAAGTGTTTAGGAGAAGTGGCAGTAAATTTCCTGACTGGTTTGTTTAACAGAATTTTAGAGACTGGCAAGATGCCTGATGAGTGGAGAAAAAGTGTTCTGGTGCCAATTCATAAGAAGGGTGATGCACAGAGTTGTAACAACTACAGAGGGATAAAGTTGATGAGCCATACAATGAAGATTTGGGAACGAGTAGTTGAAGCTAGGTTGAGGCAGGAAGTGGAGATTTGTGAACAACAGTATGGTTTCATGCCTAGGAAGAGTACCACAGATGCAATATTTGCCTTGAGGATGTTGATGGAGAAGTACAGGGAAGGTCAGAAGGAGCTGCATTGTGTATTTGTAGATCTAGAAAAGGCATATGACAAAGTGCCAAGGGAGGAATTGTGGTTTTGTATGAGGAAGTCAGGAGTGGCAGAGAAGTATGTTAGTTTGGTGCAGGACATGTATGAGAATAGTACAACAGTAGTGAGGTGCGCTGTTGGGAGGACAGAAGACTTCAAAGTGGAGGTGGGACTACATCAAGGATCGGCCCTGAGCCCCTTCTTGTTTGCTGTGGTGATGGACAGATTGACAGATGAGGTCAGACAGGAGTCCCCATGGACTATGATGTTTGCAGATGACATTGTGATCTGTAGTGAGAGTAGGCAGCAGCTAGTAGAGAACCTAGAGAGGTGGAGGTTTGCACTAGAAAGAAGAGGAATGAAGGTCAGTCGTAGCAAGACAGAGTACATGCGTGTAAACGAAAGATTTTTCAACATTGTATCTTTTCTGCATGTTTCTTGTCAAATAAGAGCATTTTGAAAAAAAAAATAGTTATAGTTAAATATAGTTTCGTGAGTCATGTCGTCAGATGGTGAAAAATTTTGATGAAAATTTTTGGAAAAATAAATTTCAAAATTGTATCTCTTCTGCATGTTTCTCATTAAATTAGAGCATTTAAAAAATCTTTTGGAAAAATTATATTTAGAATTTTTCAGTAAAATCTTAATTTCACTAGTCATGTTGTAAGATGTTAAAAAATGTGATGAAAATGTTTCTGCACGTTTCTCATCAAATAAGCACATTTTGAAAATTAAAAAAAAAATTTGAAAAAATTGGTATAGGATATTTTCATTAAAATCTTAATTTACCATGTCATGTCGTCGGATGAAAAATAAAAATTAAAAATGTTATCTTTTCTGCACATTTCTCTTTAAATAAGAGTATTTTGAGAATTTCTTTTGAAAACTTAATTTCACGAGTGATGTCAGATGGTGAAAAATTACTAAATTTTTTCCTAGAAAAGTTTAAATAATAAATATAATAATAATATATAATATAATTAAAATAATGTAATAATGTCTGATTCTTTTTGTCCCCAGGCTTCGATTCCAGCATCGGAAAAGTCGTCAGTTACGAATCTGCAACCACACAGAGAATCTGTGGAAAACCAATCTTGGACAACAATGGTGTCAACCTGTTTTCCACTGTCCTCATTGCGCTTATTCTTCCTGGCCTTGCATGGGGTCTGTGGCCACAGTAAAGCCAAAGCAAAGATGATGACATCACTGATGAAGTCACAAGTCACAGAATGATGGCACTTGAGCCACAATGTCACAAAAAACCTGTTCTATGTGTAAATATTAAAACCAAACCAAGAACATGGGGTGATCAACCCTGGCGTTGAGTGATGACATAATTTTCCTGTTTCCATAGAGTCGTTTTTATCACTACTTTGCAGTACTAAGTAAAAGACCTTGTTTTTAGGTGGATACAGAGAAAACGCAGGTGTGTTGGATTAGAGGTATCACTGTTTTTATTTCAGAGTGTCTCAGAGAAAAAAGGCACTAAACCAAAGTGGGAGAGCGACATTAACTTTCAATAAGAGAGGGAGGGTTGCAGTCAAGTTTACACTGAAGGGATATTTCTGGGGATTTTTAAGTGTGGATACGTTTTAAGCTACTGACACCATTATCATGCTACATAAAGTGGACTGTATTGTGAGTGCCCCATTGTGCTTGAACCAGTCTGATACAGACACTCACGCCAGTGAAAAATCTAGTCTTTAGTCTATAATGTCTTCAGAATCGTCAAAATCAGTGCGTTAGACTAGGAAACCAAGTTTGTAAACCAGTCAGGCCAAAGTCCAAAATCAATGATTTTAGTTCAGAGGGGAGCTGCTGGTCTACTACTGCCTCCTGTGGACTGTTTTGTCCATGCAGGGATTTTTTTTAATCTTATTTACCTATGCACTTGGATCTTCAGAAATTACAGACCTGAGCTGATGTACATTTTGTCAGTACACAGTAACAGGGGTGATGGTTTGAGGGCAGTGACTAAAAGTGTCATTACTTCCTGTAACCACACTTTACAAAACCCCCAAAGTATCCTTTACATCTTACACACACACACACACACACAAACACACACACACACACACACACACACACACACACACACACACTATGTACAGATTTCCTGACTTGAACACAAAGGAAAACAACTTGTCAGTATCTTAATATGGTTTTTAGCCTTTTTTCTACTCAAACATAAAATTTACCAACAAACCAATAATTAAATAAAGTGTTTTTTTTCCTTCATAAAGTCGAGTTTTCATGTAGTGATTATCGCTGCATTAAACTGTACATCAGTAAAAGAGCCAGTCTGTAACATTCAGTGTCCTTTGCTGTCGCCATTAAAAACTAAGCTGCCACCTGTTGAAGCCATGATGCCACTACAGCCTGGCCAGACCAATGTGTCTGAGGGAGGCGGACATGTGACCCACTCAGTTTTTAATGGAGAAACCATTGACCGTTAGCTTATTGCAATGTGTTGTCACCGCACTAAGTGTTACACACTGGACCTTAAACGTCCACAAAATAAAAGACAAAGTGGGAAACGTTTTAAATAACAAACACGCAAACAATAATATACCTTCATCGACAACATAGTTTGGTCACAAACAAATTTAACCAGATTTATGGAGAAAAGGTTCCATTTTTGTTCAATCTAATTTTTGAACAGGGTTTAGTTTGAGATGAGGTTTTTCAGAATTCTAGGTAAAAGAAAAATGATGAAAATGTGATTTTTGTAAACTTTATAAAGTGATAATAATGTGTAGTGTATGTGATGTGATTTACCAAATGTATTTGTTTCTGGGTTTAGTCTGTAAAACCTAAAATAAACTAGATTTGTCACAATAATGTACATGTAGGGGCTTTTATTTTGAAGTTTCAGACATATTTCTATAGTTACTTATTTTCCTCCTTTAAACTCTTTGAAACTATACATGTTCAATCCCATCTGGATTTGGACTTAGGATGAAAAAACGGTGAAGCTTTTCAATGCTTTCAAAAGACGACAGTTTGTCTTCAACAGAGTCCATAACGACAGAGGTCGCGTCCTATTTTTTTCTTTGTCGTGATTGTTGATTTTTCTTCTGTTTACTCACCGACGCCACTCACTCACTCACGGTGGTGCAGGCAGTGGAGTGGGAGGAGCAAGACGGATAATGGGCGGAGTTTGCAGGCGGGTGGAGTGCTTTAAATCCAAGGCGAGGTTGTGGTCGTGGGCGTGTCCGTCACAGCTCATCTTTGAAGTAGCCCAGTTTGGCCAAAGACATTTCTCTGCGCAGCTGCATGACTTCCCAGAACATCTGCTCTGCTGCACACACACAAACACACACACAGAAAGTCACAAGACAGTCATGTTGGACCACAGTGGGTTCAGTCATCTGAATCTGCACCAAGAAGCTGAAAAATATTAGTTTGTCAGATTTTTTCACATTGTTCTACAATATCGCTGTTAACATTCATCCACATGGTGGCGTCAAAACACCTCACTGGAATTAGACCTCATTTTCCTACATGTATACTTTCTGTAACAGGAGGTCCTCCTGTTACAGAAAGGTTTACGACGTCCTCAACCTAAGGCACTAAGTGGCTACGTTGCGATCTCCCAAACATTTACTAAGAAAGTCTACGTCATTCTGACGTAGCTTTGTTTACATTCTCCGGTTGTGCGCAATACATTGGATTGTCCTACAATTGCGTTTAGTTTTTTTTGCAATACATTGGATTGTCCTACAATTGCTTTTAGTTTTTTTTTTTTAAGGAACATTTTACCCTTCGTTATGGTTCTCAGGCACAAGTCAAACTCTTCTGATGTTTTTACTTCTACCACTGTGTTAGCGTAGGTGAGTGACGGTTATGTATTCACAAGAATCTGGCGATACCATACGTATCATAATACAGGGGCAATGATACGATATACTGCGATATACTATGATACTAAAGGCACTGTATATTGTGTTTTTTTTTAAACAATTGCATCGTAGGAAAACTATCGGCATATTAAACACAATGCTGTTACATGCGTAACAAATAAAATGAACCAACGCAATTAATATTTGCATGTTAATAAAAACATAAAGACAGTGCTGTAGAATACCGTACCGATACGTGTCGTGAAATAAAACATCGCAATATTTCAGTGTGTTAATATTTTCCTACACCCCATTATACACAGTATGAATAAAACATCGCAATATTTCAGTGTGTATTTTCCTACACCCCATTATAAACAGTATGTGTTTCAACGCAAAAATTGCGTTACGTTGTACCGTAGGAAGAGAACCTGAGGACTCCAGTACGTTGTTGATGCCAGAGTTTCAAAAACACAGACTTTAAAGTTTTACTTCTTACAGGGTACAACTTGGACATTTCAAACTTTTCAAAACCTTCCAATGAAATTTAGGACCAACCTTGTGCGTACTACTCCACAGCTATAAATGAATTAACCTAAAAAAAAATCTGTCATACTTTTATTATCACAATCAGGTAAACGTAAGTGAGGAGTGTGTGTGTGTTTGTGTGTGTGTGTGTGTGTCTCACCATCCTGTTGTTTCACCAGTCCTTGGTGAATGTAACGAATGTAAGTGAAGAAGTTACAAACAGCTGTGATCTGTCAGAAGAAGAGTAAAATAAATTCATACTGTACATCAGTATGACAGTACAGTGTGTGTACAGCGCAGTATATTTAAGTATACTTAAGACACTCACTCTGTATCTACAGTAGGGAGAAACGTAGTAATAGTTGGAGGAATCCCCAAACTTGATTCTGTGCTTACAGGTTTTGGTCTGAGCACTGAGGGCGCACTTCCTGTGGAGACACAGACATGGAGGACGTTACACAGAAGACAAATCAGAATCAAGGAAGCAAGGAAGTAGGAAAGGAATGTAGGAAAGGAGGCATTTATCAAGTCAGGTCTGATCGGGATCGTTAAGAAATCCTGCAGCAGAAGGGAGAGAGGAGTCACCAACAAGGAGGACCATGGAGTGATGAGACAGGGTGGGCAGATGAAAGGAGCGAGGGTGGACTATGTTATAGTATTTGACTTTTTCTCCCAATTGATTTCTACATTTCCCAAATTGTTATTCATTTTCCAGGTTTTCAAGGTTGTACTGGAACCTTGATAAGGACTCTACAGCCTTGTTCCAGCCCTGTTGGCAGCAGCAAGTTAAAAAAACAAAAAAAAACAAGAAAATGGAACAGGGCTTGGGTTGGAAGCTGAGGAGGCAGACAAAGGAGAGAGAGAGAGAGAGAGAAAGAGAGAGACTTACGTGACAACCTCAGCTGTGCGCCCTCTTGTGGAGAAAAGAAAGTAAAGGTAAAGAGATGAGGATAAAGAAGTGATAAAAGTTAGATAAAGAATAAGGAGAGAGTGTGTGTCAGTGACAGTGGTGAGGTTCAGTGAGAAGATCAGTGGGTTGCTAGTTCGATCACCGGACAATCTTTCCGTACGGAGTTTGCATGTTCCCTTCCATAGACACCCAAAAACAGGCTCATTACGGGATTTATTCTAAACTGACCATAGCTGTGAATGTGAGCCTCAAACCCTGCAAAAATGTGGTGATAATGGATGGATGGATGGATGGATGGATGGATGGATGGATGGATGAACAGATATAGAGTGGTGTACAAATGAATAGTTTTCACTTTGGAAAGCTCTGCTGCCCTCATCTGTCTCATATCACCTAGAGTCAGAAGAAATGTAGCAACAACTACATGTTGGCGTAGGCTCACGTCTGCCCCCCTTTGGTGCAGTACGGCACTGTTCTGCCCAGCGATGTAACAACCCATCATGAAGTGGTTAAAAATCGATACAAATGCGTGACAATTCACATTGGTTTAAATAAAAACAAGTGGTTAAAAATCGATACAAATGCGTAACAATTCAGATCGGTTTAAATAAAAATTGAATCACGCATCAAGGAGTAAGGAGTAGGCTGCGTTATCTAAAAAAGTAAGTGGTCATACCACGAGACTACACACTCAGGTACAGTAGGTGGCAGTATTCTGTAGAGAAAAAAAACTTTTTCCAGTTAATGTTCTTTTGTTGTTAATATATTTGGTTTATGTACACGATTTCATTCCATTTCAGTTGGTAATGGTTGTTACAAATAAAGGGTCATCGTGTTTGGTCATAATTTGTCTCATTTGCTTAAAGAAAATTGCGATAAAATTGCATTATGAACCAATAATCGTGAATCATATCATGTTATGTTTAGTTTTTTAATTTTTATGATTACTAATGATCTCATCACCTGCCTCCACTGACCACATGCCCTGCTGTGTGTGTGTGTGTGTGTGTGCGTGTGGGTGCGCTTACTTTGGTCCTCCACACTCTACAGCCGAGGCTTTGACCACAGGAAGTGGTTGAAAACCCACAGGCTCCACACTGAGTGTGTTCAGCTCTACAGCCTCTAAGATGGCCGACCCGAGCTGAGGGAGAGGAAGAGGAAGGACAATCTCCCTCGTCAGGTAGAGCGGAGTGCGAAGC